TAGCGCGTTTTTCTTACGTGGTAGGTTCCGTGTTCAGTCTCGAACAAAACGTGTCAGAAACGAAGGTTTTAACCGAAAACTTATTTACTCCTACAACTACACCAAGTATATCCTCATGCTGCAAGCGAAAGGACTACTTTAGCCTACCAGTGATCTAGCTGTCGTAGCCCCAGAAGGGTGCAGTCACACAAAATGCATTCTGGCCCCGAAAGAAAAAAATGGTGTTGTTTTACACCAAACGTTCCTAGTCCCGCTTAAATACCTTCAAATATAAAATGTTTAGAACGCAGCATGAAAAATGTTGGTGTTGCCCTTTATCACAAACAAAAACCGACTTACCTTTTGTCACTGACAAAAACCGACATGAACGTTTGCTCCAAAAAGAGGTTCCACTGCTAATGGCCCGAGTGCGTCAAACCAAACCTTTACACGAAAGGTAGCCTCCTAGCGGGTTACTTTGAGTTTTACTTTGCGAAGCAAAGGGGCGGGCTGGACCCCTTATCCTTGAACGACCAGGAGAAAGGGACCCCCCCCCCTCGAAGGGAACTTTCGCCATATGCCTGGCGAGTCTCTTCACGCAGCATCACCACCATCATCATCATCAACATCATCATCATCATCATCATCCTCCTCATCACCATCATCATTCGGCTTGAAATTCGGATTTTTCGACATCCATTTTCCAAGTGCCTAACGGTGCAATGAAAGTGACAGGTTCGAGCATCCATAGGCACAAAAAAAAAATGAAATTTGTGCTAACACTGATCGTGTTTTTTCCCCGGCACGATGCGTGTGTCTGACAATGTATACCTCCAAATGGCTATTTAAATGGACTAAGTGATGAGCAACCATGGACATCGTGGGGTGCTGTCTTTTCGGATCCAGATATCTCCGCTCTGCTCTGAACGTCCAGTTCCATGCCCCACGCCCCAAGTGAACTCTCGTCACATGCCTTGTGCGTCTCTTCACGCAGCAGCCCCTTCGCAGTGTCTCATCGTCATCGTCCTCATCCTCCTCATCCTCATCATCATCATCATTCGACTTGAAATTCGGATTTTTCGACATCCATTTTCCAAATACCCAACGGTGCGATGAAAGTGACAGGTTCGAGCATCCATAGGTACCGCAAAAAGAGACATTGGAGTTTGTGCTAACAATGATCGTGTTTTTTTCCCCGCACGATGCGTGTGTCTGACAATGTATACCTCCAAATGGCCATTTAAATGGCCTAAGTGATGAGCAACCATGGACATCGTGGGGTGCTCTCTTTTCGGATCCAGATATCTCCGCTCTGCTCTGAATGTCCAGTTCCATGCCCCACGCCCCAAGTGAACTCTCGTCACATGCCTTGTGCGTCTCTTCACGCAGCAGCCCCTTCGCAGTGTTTCATCATCAGCATCATCGTCATCATCCCCATCATCATCATCATCATTCGACTTGCGATTCGGATTTTTCGACAGCCATGCCACGTCACTTTAACTTTTGCAAGCAAACGGGTGAAGCAAAGGAACGTCGGCGCTTCTCCATGCTTTGGTTGGAGAGAAATTTTCCCTTCGTTCTGTCAAAGCGGTGATTTGCTAGCGCATGACGTCCATATTGACAAGCCTAAAGCTTGGTGTCAGCAGAAAAGGGCCCGGTCGCATGTCGGCTTTCGCACTGAGTGATCCCCCGCGTCCCCTTTGACACAACTACCTTTCGTGTCACCTCTTCTCAAGTCATGCTTGGAAGTAAAATGCCAGTGGGGTCCAGTGGTGACATTGCCGCCTACGGCGTTCCACCCGTGTCTGAAAAATGCCACCGCCAGCCACAGTGCTACAGTAGCAACATGCCGTGCAATTCGCGTGGCAGGCGTGGCATTTTTTAAAATGTGTTGAAAATTGATGGACGCCTCGAACGAAACATCGATTTTACTGTAGCTGGTTTTGGGGTTCATAGGCAAAATTCGTAGGAAAACTTCAATTTTGGAGCTACAAAGTGTGAAAAACTGAGGATGGGAGTTGAAAGCAACGATGATATCGCAGTGGTAGAGTTTCAATGAGAACATGTGTAATCACAACTAAGGGGGGCGTTGAATCATATGAACCTGGAAGCACGATGGGATTTGGATATGCTGACTACAGATTGCCTAGAGACCTGATGTGAGCCCGCGACCATCTGCTTCCAACACCGCCCCAAAATGCCCCGGGAGCTTAAGGGGAGGAAGGGGGGTTCGGGTGAAAAATCACTGTGTTGGGCTCAGACCTGCCCCCCCCGTTGCGAGGCCAAAGTAACGCGACCTGTGTTGATCACTAGAATTTTTTGTGCGCGTGTTTCTGTTTAGTTTGTTCTCGAATGTAAGAGTTGTGATACTATGACCAATCACTCTGCGCTGCTGTTCCCACTTTCATTGAAAGTGCTGCAACGGCGACCAGTTCGGGGCAATATACGTTTCAAATGCAGGTGAACATGACACTGGCGGTCTGGTGTTGTCTTCACCCGGGTTTTGGGCCGGAGCACTTTGTGACCAAAGAGAACATGCGCACATTACCTGTGAGTACTTCATCTTGCAAGCAGCTGATATTTGTAATGAATCCCCGCAAACTGCAGCGGTTGTATTGGTGGGAGCATGACACGGGTAGAGTGTAGGGATGTTCGCACAGGAAGTTTGAAGTCTGCCGCCTGCCGTGATAATCATACATATTGGTTGGTGGTCGATGTATGTCCTTCTTTGTGGAGACATCCTCCGAAGATGGCTTCTCGACAACGAGCGCAGCAATGGGGTAAGCTGGCGCGACCTGGCTGCTTGAGAGGGCGTGCGATGCGGCACGTCGTCACCACTTGACGCAGCTCTGAAACACGCACCAAACGTCTAAAGTGCCCTTTTGAAAACCTGCAAAAGCATTGCGTGTGTCACACAAAACGACTTTTGACACTTTTCAGGCGCGTGAAAATGTCACGAAGTGCCACGCTCGCAAAACAGCATTAGAAACTGTTTTGAAACCATCGGAAACGAAAGGTTTTGCAGCTTCCCCCATAGGCAGGCACGGCGACGCCACAAGAAAACCAGAGAATCGAGACGAGACATGTTGGAGCCTGAAACCAGCATTTTGGGCGAGACGAGACTTCCTCAGTTTTTTTTTAAACTTTGTACAGCAACAAATTCTACGTTTTCCTACACATCGAGTTTCTGATGAACCTTAAAACCTGGGATCTCAAAATCGGCCAGGCGCTCGTCAATTTTCATCACATCTCAAAAAATGCCACGCCTGCCAAATCTGGCACGGAATTTGCACGGTGTCACCGTTTGACGCAGCCCTGAAAATGCGATCTGCAAAAAACACACAACACCATGCGTCTAAAGTGCTGCTTGCGCCTGCCATGCAAAATGACGATGGAGGTCTCCAAAGTGCTGCGCCTGCCACGAAAAGTGCAACTCATCTTCTGAAAACCTTGCAAAAGTATTGCGCCTGTCACACAGTACGACTTTTGACACGATGAAACTTGTTGCGGTGTTACAAAGTGCCACGCCTGCCACACGAAACGAGGCACACATTTGAAACCTCCAAAAGTGACAACTTTTGCAGCACTCCCCATAGGCACGGTCATTGGGGACTCACGCAAACGGTTGCGGACAGTTGAGGACGGTTGAGGACGGTTGCCGTTGCGAATGGTTGGTGGACGGTCCGCAACATCCAGCGAACACACCCTCAGCCCCCAGACCCCCAGAGTGAAACGGGAACCCTTGTTACGCATTCTGGAAAATTCTACAATTATTTTTTGTCCTTTTACAACCCTCGCACATGTGAATTTCAAGTCTTTAAAGCGCTGTCCCGGCTATCCCAATTAATAACAGGTTATGGGAAGACCGTTCCAGACCCCATGGGGAAACTTGACTAGACCTTGGGCTTGGAAGGCCTGCAGGTATACAGCTTTTGCATATGAGTTTTTCCAATGAAAACTTGAACAAACGAATCCCTCAAGACCTACGAGGGCCCCCCCCAAGTAGTTGACAGTATGCAAGAGCACTATTGACAGTATGCAAGAGCACTATTGGATGAGGTGTTGCAGGTGTGATTTGTCATTTTCTGTGGCATGCGAGGTGCATGGTAGAGCTGCAAGGATGATGCCGAGATCAGTGTCTTGAAAACGGTTTATAAAGAAAATTAAACAAGAATCCGCCAGGACTATTTGCCAGGAGTGTTTCGTAAGAGACTTCCAAAAGAATGTCTGACGGTCCTAGAAGAAAAATTGAACAGAGTGTCTTGCAGGAGGGCCCCAATAGTGTGTCTCACTGGATTGCCCCAGCATGATGGAATTTGAAACCAAATGTATTTGGCTGATGATGTGGATTCGGGTTCGTGGATGTTCGTGGGTTTTTCCCGTTTTTGTTTTCAATTTCTATGGTTTGAAACACGTCGTGCTCGGGTCCGTGAGGAGCCATTGGAACCCACAAACCCGATCTTCAACCGTTCAATCGGTACATGTGGAAAAAAATAATACGGAAAAAAACGCGATGCGCTCCGGTTTCTTCTAACCCAATTCTCCCTGTTTTTGTTAACCTAAAGCAAAGTGCCGTGTTTGCAACGTGGAATTGCTTGCCTAAATTAAATCAATTTCATTGTTGGGTTCTGGACCGAATTATATAACCTCACAAGAAAAAACTTTGCCGTGCCCTTGTGGTTTTTCAGAGCTTTGATCAGGGCTCGCCCTTGGATATTATTTTTGAAACTGGGCCTGGCATCACTGCACAGCTTCAACGCTTTGCTGGTGTAGTCAGAACTAAGTGCGATCTTTTGTTGAGCTGAGGCATGAACATTTTGAACCACAATTCTTGTGATTTCACATGATTGATGCATCCAGAGCTTTGAGCCTCAACCGGTGGCATGGGCAAGTGATGAAATTTGATGAAAGGACGCCCACACACGCAATCACAATCAAAATCATTGACAATATCTTGCGGTACATGCAGGTACAAAATTCACAGAGTAGAACTTTGGTGAACTTAGGAACCATTTGGAGCCATGATTGTCCAACAGGTGCAGGGACATTCGGCATGCACACCAGTTGTGCAGTCCCATAGTCCTGCAGGGAATGGGCTGAGAGTTCCAGTGGCCAAGTGCGTGTCACCAGAGGACGCGACATGTCCGACATCCATTGCCATTCGTGCGATTCCTACCCCGAGTCGCTCATTGGCTGGGAATTCCATGAAGGGAGCAACCAAATTGGGTTTTAGCCCCTCAGTTCATTCAGCTCAGGCACCTTCAGCGCTTACTTCTGTGAGATGCACCCCACGGTCACGGCAGCCTCCAACGCCAAGAAGTCCATGCAGCAGTTGGGTTCCTCCCCGCGCGTTGCAGGTGCAGGTGAAACCACAGGCTTCAATCACACCGCCTTTGGTGGCCACACCCATGAAGTCTTGGAATCCACATCCTGTGGCTCAGGTTGTGCGGCAGGAACCTGGCAGAGACGTGGACAAATACGGGGCAAGACCAATCCAATCGCGGTCTTGGGTCCCACCATCCACTCCCAGGCGTGAAGTTCGTGGACCACCAAACTCATGGATCCCCCCCGCAGTGCAACACATGCCCTCAATGCGTCCTCCTATGCCTGCAGCAAATGGAGGGACCAACAGCATTGGATTCCAAGGAGGCTATCACCATGTGCAGACACCTTGTGGTTCAGGGGCTTCAGCAGGATGTCCACCAAGGATTCAACGAGTCTTGGAGACGCAGAGTCCCATGACTTACGGCCAATCTTCTGGGAACAACGGTACGAAAGCCCTGTCTTACTGTCCCTCTTTGGTCATTGACCGGCGGTGTGCGACAGGTGGGCTGCCCGGCTGCCAGACAATGGTTGCAGAACCATACCAAGAATTGACGTCCTTGCAAGTTTCCATGCACAGGGGGGCCCAAAGCCACGTGCTTCCCTCCTGCCCGTCACTTGTTGCTCCCGTTTACGCTCCGTCGAAGCAACGGCCTCAACCTGCAGTCCTGCAAATTGCGTCAGCCTTTCACTCACGACAACACCCAGCTAAGATGAGCACTGGAATTCCAAACGCCGATGCTGTTTTGGAGGGAATTGACTACGTTGGCATTGCCGATGGGGTGTCAGGAGTTCACTCTTTGGGGCTCACTCCAGATGCCCTGCCTTGGGAATTGCTGCGCTATTGTGGAAAAGGTTTGTTTGCAGCTGCTGCCAAAGGTGAGCCGCGAGTGAAGAAGACGGAGAAGCATGGAAAGCAAATGCAACAGATGGGCGAGTGGTTGATCCAACTGATCCAAGAGGCTTTTGACACCACTGAGGAGTACGGTGCCACCACACTGCTGCTGGCTGCCATCAAAGGTAGCAATCTTGTCACAGCCTGTTTAGGTGATAGTGGGATCCTTATCCTCAGGCCAGTGGCTTTTTATCCTCTGCAGCTGCAGCCAATCTTCAAGACAGAGCCTGGCCGTTTTGATGCTCGTCGACCTGTGCAAATCCAACGCTTACATGGTTGCGATGTGGCTAGTGCCCATGAAGTGATCAGCTCTGCAAATATTGGCGCCACCCCAGTGAGGCCAGGTGATATTTTGATTTTGGGCACGGATGGGTTGTTCGACAACCTGTCAGACAAGCACATCAAAGAAGCTATTGAAAGATTCTACCATTCAACGGAGGCAACAGGCTCCAGTGAAGAACTAGGTCAGGTCGCCTCACTTCTTGTTGATTTGGCCATCCGTAATGTCAAGTTGGACAAGAAAAATGCTGACAATCCGCCATGGCAGCGGAACGCTACCTCTGTCCCAGCGAACAATGCTGATGACACCACGGCCTTAGTGGCTATGATCAAGGCTGAAGGCTCCGAGTTTGGGAATGCTCACCCGTGCTTTCCTAGGAGAGGTGATACGGCTCACTTGTTCGGCGAAACCGATGTGGATCCGGGAAGGATGGCATTAGATCCTTGATTGCATGTATCCTTTCCTGTCCATGCTGACTTCCTTGTAGTTGTGGAATGAGTGCTGAACCATTTTCTTTTGAGAAAAACATGTTTAGAGAATTTTCGAGATTTGGCCCCAAGGATCGAACACATCGAGATTTGTCGAAGAGCGTTCAGTCCTCGCCTTAGTTGCATTCCTGTCACAGCAAAGGCCAAGCTTTTGACCAGAAGTGTTGACAGAGAGATGTGTTGGAATTCATAGTAATTTGGCCATACTTGCTCAGCTTTTGACCCTTATATTGCTCAGATTCCATTCTTGCTCAACCCAGGTTCAGCCGTGGAGCCTCAAAGCGAGAACATAGCCAGAACTGCGTTGTGTCATGAGTTGTTGGGTTGTTCCGGCGATGATTTTCAGATAATTCGATGCAAACACGAAAACCAAGATGGGTGAGGCACAAAGCGGAGAGATTTCAATTTATGTAAATCCACTTGTGACTTCTTTCACTTCTTTCCAAAGGTAGGCACCCAATCTTGGCATGCCAATTCGAGCGCAGTCCATGTTGCAGATTGAAATGTGTCCCTCCAATGATATACTTTTGCATTTCATCCTTGCACGCAAGGTTTCTTTCGATTTTGGGGCACGTTTTGCATCACAATTTAATTGGCGTTTGGATGCCACGGGCAAAGAACACAAGCATAGCAGAGACAGAGTGCTCAAAACAATCGCTTTGCAGAGATGATTGGACAGGTGGTTTAAGGATGTTTAAGGTAGATTGTTTGAGACCCGGTTTCTCAAGGTCAGTCTGTGAGACATCCTGGCATATGTCCTCTACAAGAATGTGTTATGTTTGTTTTCCGGGCAGGACTGAGCCATCCCATTATGAACAGAGACCATATTTGTGGGTTCATGGCTCGAAGCTGCCCAATTTTAGATAGGACCCTTAGGAAGTGGCCAAAACATGGCCAGTCAAAGCAGCTTGGGACCAGTAAAGTCCAAACCATGGCAAGCATGCTTCCTTTTGATACGTTTGTTTTGGTGGGACAGTCGGGACCCCAGACCGAGTGAAGCAACGTGAAAGAAATCCTTTCCACCTTGAAGTTGGTCTGCGAGGTGACTGGAGATGCCGTGCAGAAGCTTATGCCCGTTTAGCTGCAGATACTTGGCTTCAACGATTTCACAATCATATCATCCAAGTGTGGGGCCAGAATGTTTGGGTGGCAAGGGGCACACCTCCTGTACTCCAATAATCTCCAATACCTTTGCCAATGAGACCTGAACTGTGCGGGCAAATGATCTGAACTGTCAATTCGTTGAGAATATCTTTCAATTGAATGAAATGATATCTAGGATATATGGATCTTTCTCACACATATACACAAGTATATATATATAATATATATACATATATATTATACATATATATTACCCCCCTCCCGTCCCAAGAAGCGTTCACGCTGCGACGGAGCACTCTGAATTCAGAGGCCAGAAAAAATGGTGCTAATCCATCCACACACATATATATATATACACATACATATGCATACACGTCCTTTACACACAAATGCGCATGTTTTCCGTTTACTGCTTTGGTTTGGAGAGACAGGTCATCCTCGTGCAGCTCTTCCGTGGCAAAGCTCGAATTTGGCAATCGCAAATGAAGCGCAAAGAATTGCAGCGCCTTCTCTCCGGGTCGCTTGGATGTTTTAGGCCCTTGCCCTTCCCGTCTGTCACAGTTTCAGCTCAAGTTTTGGAAGCTATGCCTCAGGTCACTGGCCAGAAAAGAAATTGCAAAGACTGTGCTCAGGTGTCTCTGCTAAATGGTAGTTTTGTGGCCGGCACTTGCAAGACTTTCTGTCAAGAAACACTTGGCACGGTCAAGATGACTGAGGTATGCAGCAGTGGTGGTTGCGCTCAGTCCAGTTAGCAGGCCATTGATCTATGCCCAACTGTGTCAGTCAGCCTTGCAAGTAGCCAGTAGCCAGTTTTTTCGGTTCTTTCCAGCATGGTTCATCCCTCCAGCTGAACCTGTGCTGTCCGCACTGTCAGGCTCTACTACCGATTTTTCCGTGGCCTACGTTTACAATGGGAGCAGCATCTCACAAGTAGCTTCCTAGGCAAGGTTGGAAGTCAAGGGAATGGAGGTCGACTGTTTCAAGTGGACTCAACATGGCCGGGGAGCGGTTGGATGTTTCACCTTTTCCAGAATGATTTCCTTCAGACATTGATTTGTGCTTTGCGCCTCGGTGAGGCAAATTTCTGGAGGCGCAATGCTTCGGGCACAGGGCAGGCTTACTCGAAAGCAACGAAGCTGCAGACAACAGGCATCCAGACCAACGAATTGCAGCTGATGTTGGAAAATTCACCACACTGGCGACAATGCTTTGGCTGGACGGCTTTCAGGCTGTTGTGGATTTGTATTTCTACTCGAGCCTCCTTAGGACTTTGTCGCCTAGGCTCTCCAAACTTGCCGTCTTGGCTGCCTTTGGTGGTACATTGATTACAAGTTGGCTTGGGCGAGATTTGCCGACATTGTATTCTGCGGAGCGGGCATCTGATGGTATGTTCACATACCTTCTCACTCGCATGCGAGAGAATGCAGAGTCAATCCTTTTCTACGGTGGACAGAAGCAGGAGGTCCAAAATGCCGAGAAGTCCTTGGCATTGAGAAGTAAGACGGAGTGGAATCGTCTAGCTGCCAAGGATGTTGTACAACTCGTTCAAGATCAATACCGACAGGTCCTTAGCTTGGGGCCTGCTTTGGTTATGGTACAAGCTGGTGGGGTCACTCCTGATCCAGCCTTATTGAATCAAGGGACCGAAGCTTTTGATTCAGTTGTTCGTGCGTTGCTGCTGTTTGCTGACAATTGTTCAGATTTTTCCCGACTGACAGCGGTCGCACAAGAGCTGTTTGAGTATCACCAAGAGCAAAGCGAACATGAGAAAGCTGAAACCCAAATAAAGATTCAGGCTGTGGATGAGCATGACAGCTCCTGGCTGGAAGTGAAAGAACTGACGCTCGCATTCGCAGATCGTATTCTCCTGAAAGATTTATCCTTTGAAGCTCCAATGCGCGGCGGCTTTCTGATTTCCGGTCCAAGTGGTAGTGGAAAGACCACACTGTTGCGCGCACTAGCCGGACTTTGGCACAAAGGTGTTGGAGAAATCAAACGTGAAATGAAGCAGGGTGCAGTGCTTTTTCTACCCCAGCGGCCTTACATGAGTCTTGGCACTTTACGTGAGCAGTTGCTCTATCCGAACTCAAACATTGACGCCGATGACACGCACCTACATGAGATTCTCATCACCGTAGGCCTTCAAGATGTTTTAAAACGTATCAATAGTGAGCTTGATGTGGTTCAGCGGTGGGACGAACAGCTCAGTCTTGGAGAGCAGCAGCGCCTAAGTGTGGCGCGGCTGTTGGTTCAAAGGCCAGTATTCGCTCTGGTCGATGAGGTCACCTCTGCGAATGATCCCGCTCACGTGTCTTGGACTGTCTTGGCCACTTTCAATCACATGCACATACGGACGCAAACTTTTTAGAGCATGTTACCCAATGCTTCTTGGAGCAGTTGTAGGGTGGGCACGTTTGATGTGAAAGGACTTGGTTGTGGTAGCACATGTAGTGGCCCCAAAGAGGCTTACTCCGCCATAGGACCCACAGGAGTGATTCCCTGAGAAGCGAGTGTATCTCAGGCCTACTAGCCGAGCATGAATACTAGTCCAAGCAATATGCAGTGTGTTGATTGCAGTCGGCTGTGGTGAGTGTGCATGATATTTGATGAAATTCGCGCACACACACAGATATGATATATAGCTCGAAGATTCGGACAGTCAAATGGCACAGCCGGGCAGTGCCGACAAGACTGAAACTGAAGAGCAACTCTAGATAGGCCGAGCCAAATCGCAAGTCCGGCGAATGGCTCGAGTTGCGGTGAAACCTAACATCAAAGTGGCACTGGTCTGTGCAAGTTCAGTGCTTTGCCTCAAGTACAAGCCATGGCAGGGCCTATGAATACCCAAAACAGTCTTATCACCAGAATCAAAGAAAACAGCTTGAAAATCAGGAAAATGAGTCCTCAAGAAATTGCAGCTGCACAGCTTGAACTACATAAGCTAAAGTGGGCTTAGTATACCTGGTGCAGAGGGAGTGGATATCCATGTTTTTCGTAGCGGAGTTCCAAAATGGAAATCCAAAGCCCGGTTGGTTGGCAAATAACAAGGCAACCTCTTCAAAACAAATCGGGCAGACACGATACCCGCAATCAGCATCACCTTCATGGCCAACCAGCCATTGTCACACACAGATATATAATAACTCACACACACACACATATTATATATTTATTTTATATATAATATATATATAAATACACATATTGTCCTGCCTGTTAACACTTGTCCTATCCATTTTTGCTTTTCTTTTTACTTTAAGCTTTTCGTTGCTGTCGCATTTCTGCGTTCCACTTTTGATTTTGACCGAGGAAGAGATCGTGTACAAATGCATCGCTTCGACCTGCAAAGCTTTTATTTCCGTTGGTCATCGAAAGAGTTTGGAAGCTTACCATTCCATGAGTCTTAGATTGACTGGCATTGATGGAAAGTGGGAACTCTGCAAACTCCATTCTTGAGTGAAAATAGTCGTGTACTCTCTCAACGCCATGAGTTGTGTAGTTTGATATCTGCCTGCATGCAACATCCGCTGTGTATCTCGCTAGCTTGCATGCCATGTGTTTCTCCCCTCAAGTGGTGGACGTGCCTTTTGCAGTAACACTGTCTGGCTGACGAGGGTAGTTCTTTCGGGGGTGAGTTGCATTATAGTTCGCTGATTATGACCGACGTCGAAATGGCATCAAAGCTGGTTTCTCAGACTTCTACGAAGTGGTTGGCAGGCAACCAGTGCGTCAGTGACAATTGAAGCCCAAGGCTGGAACAGCTTGAATCTTTCAGCGCTGCGGCCCCTGTGGCCCCCGCAGCGGCGCCCCTGCCAAAACGAGTTTCCGACTCAAAGCAAACAGTGGCACCTGGACCGCAAGAGTTTGGGAGAATAAGAGGGTAAGTGAGCCCTGTTGACGCCTATGATCCCTCAACGTGGCGGTGTATTGATCTGCAGATTATATGGTTGGGCAGAAGCTGATGGTTGGCTTTTGGCACAGGAGGTGGCATATAATGGCCATGCATTTCCTGCCTGCTTGTCACAAATAAGGCAAAGCGGCCACGTCAGCTGCTTAGTGTTTAGCCCGTCTATTGCCGATCTATAGCCAATCTAGTCTATATTCTTAGTGAGAAGCAAAAAAGACACCTGATGAAAGAGGCACAGCTGTGGTGTGCCACAAACGCAGTCCCAACCCACACATGCTCCAAAGCCAACGCATGGTGTGGAGGTGTCGAAGGCACTCGCTTCAACTTTAGTCACTTGAAAAGGCGGCGGTTTATCATCCTTGGACGTGTGCGATCTTGTGGGACTTTGCACGCTTTTCCTTCGTCTCTTTCTCACTGGGATGTCTTCGCATCGTCAGGCCAGAGCCGGAGGATTCAGAAAGTCTCCAAGGACAATGGCTGCACAATCCTGTTGCCAAATTGCAGTAGCCATACGAAACTTCAGGACCCTTGGAGTTCATGCAGGTTGACATCGACTACTACACCAAGGCTGGGCAAGCTGAGTTTTGTCCGCATTCTGTGAAAGCATGAGAGTTTTGGAGTTTCTGGCAGCAAGACAATGCTTTTTTGACCAGGCACCAGACCTGCGCTTCCAGAACCCCGAGGATCCCTACAACGCTGACACTGCGGTCCCAGTGCTCAGGATCTATGGCGTCAGAGCCCTATGCCAGGATTCGACCAGGACTTGGTGGAGCGCAAGGCCGCAGGGGCCACAGGGGCCACAGGGGCCACAAGGGAGTCAACTGCCCAGGTCACTGAAGAAGGGCACAGCGTGATGGCCCACGTCCATGGATTTGAGCCATACTTCTATGTCGAATGCCCTGAGGCAAGCTGAACATGCGACACGACTGTTTTGCAATCTCTAGAAAAACGGTCATTCTTGAGAGTTCACAGAGTTCTTTTGTCGGTTCAAGTCATGAAAGGTAGCGTCAGCTTGAGTTCTCCGTGCTTCAGCACAATCATAGGGGGTATTGGGGGGCCAGCCCGTGGAAAACGTAGAATTCTCGACGTTATGTATTAGATATCAATTATAAGGGGGGGGCGTCATGGGTTCAATTCCCACGGGTGACGCGGTCACGGTCCTCCACAGTAGAGGCACACTCTCCATGAGGGAGATGTCCCTGTAGTCCAGCATAAATGGTTTGCTTCAGCCTCAATAACAGTTGCTGCAAGGGGTCTTAAAAAGGGGTTTTAAATCAACCCCTTTTCGTGCATCATTTCACGCTGCACAAGACACCGTATCATGCAGTCATGCTCTGGATAAAATCATCTTAGACTGCGCAAAAACGTTTTTGGTGTATCATCTTAGGGGCGCAGCATTTTGACACCACTCCTCTCCGACTACGCTACCTTTCGTCCGCCTCCGCCTGCTCTCAAGTCAGTTCAAGTCGGTTCAATGGTTTGTGTTTTGTTCGTGGAGGAGCTCCGGACACCCGATGGGTTGGACGAGTTTCGCAAAGCCCTAGAAGCCTTGTTAGCGGCTTCGGGATGCCATGGGCTTAGTCAAATCACAGTTTGTATTGGTAGTTTGTCCGTTTGTCCACTATTATCATGTTGCGTTTGGTTTTTGAATATGGCAGCCAAAGGTGTTGGAATTGCGTTTGCCTCAGTCTGTGCTGGTGCCGCCAAGGCCGGGACAAGGCAAAGCCCTTCGTGCGGAAAGTTGAAATGGTTCAGCGTTCAACGCTGATGCGCAGCTGGCCTCAGGGCGGTACAGTATAGATTCGATTAGATTCTTAGATGGTCTACTGGTCTAACGATCTCCAACTGGAATGGTCGGTCCTGAGGCTGGCAAGGCTCCAATGAGCATTCATGCTTCTTGCGCCCTGTCAGCAATCATGCCAACATATGCCAACTCTGCAGTCGTTTTGAAGTAGAAACAGCCTGTGTGAAATCCTGGATGTCGTCAAAGCTCGCAGCATTGTTGCCTTGCTCTATTTGATGTTGGAGGAGAGTCGTCGTTGCTGTGCCCAGCCTTGTGGCCACATGCCGGCGCATGCTCGAGGTGAGCCTTCCAATATGGGTGAAGTTGAGAGGGTCGTCAGTTTTGCGATTTTGCTTCCTGATGCAAGGCTGGATTTTCACTGAATGGCAAGGGGTACTTTCCTCCCAGCACGCCTCCGCCTGAGACAAGTACAGAGTTGCTGGAGCCAAATGCCTTCCATACATAAGACATAGCGACCTTGTATGGCCAAGGTCGTACGAGACCAACATCCCGTTCGCACTTCGTTTCATGGTGGACCAGTCCTTAGTCCAAGTCATTTATTTCTTTATCATTCTTGTAATAATTATTGTTCTGGTATGTTCTGGTAGTGAAACTGACTACAGGGCCTCTTTTGTATCCTCTTGGCTTTCCCCAACAGTCTCGCAACTGCCATAAGGATCGAGATCTTGCCGGTGGTGGCTGGGTCCTTGCTGAAAATGCCATGCTAAGAGCAGGCTGGTGGCTGCTGGTTTCCACTTTCGCAGCCTTTCCGAGCATCGGGACTTGTGATTCTCGGCAGGTTTGGACACGGTGAGCCAGTGCCAGATTGAGGTTGACATGCTTTACACGGATCTGAAACCACAGGCAGCCTGGTATCATCTGTCCATTTAAACAGCTGTGGGAAGACTATCGGTGTCCAACTGATGTTGTTCCCACCGCTGTTGTTCCAGGAGAAGCTTCACATTGCCCCATTGCGCATCCTTTCTTTCGACATTGAGCTCATTCCCCAGTGCTGTTGATTTGCCACAATTTTTGGCTGTTGTCTTGTGGGAGTGGGTTGTCATACCTCTTGCGTCCTCTTGTCACAACTTTTAGATTTGGATTTTATAGAATTGTTGGGCGAGAGACGTTGAGATGATCTTGAAGACTGCTTGATCTTGAAGACTGTTGAGGTGCTACAATCCGGAGGGGAAGGCAGGGCAAAAATGTCTCAAGGCCATGCAGTGTAGCACAGTGTGCTGCCTCAACGGAGGGCTTCCCCAAAGCAGATAGCAGTCCGGTGATCCAGATCGCGGTGTACTTGAAGGCTGGCAGACTTGACATTTGAAGACTGCATCAATGCCGATGCCTCTCATGGAGCTACCCACTTGGCCTGCATACTTTTGCACTTGTTGAGGTCCACGGCTGTGAGCGTCCGTCAAGTGCTTAGTCTCCATGAGTATTTTTAAAAGAAGAGTGACAAGCAGCCAGAGTTTGCCATAGGGATGCATACTCATGATCGTTGTTTGCAAGATCTGCTCGTTGCTGCTCCAAAACGTGGAAAGGCTTTCACATGCAGTGTGGACGCTGCAATCCTGCAATGAGATTGCAGGCCGAAAGATGCCATTGATGCCATTGATGCCATCGGAACATTTTGCAATTTCTATTGCTTTGAGTCCTTCTCACTGCTGGCAGGTGCAACAGTATACTCGTTCGACACCGAAGAAGAGATGCTGTTGAGTTTCCGCCACTTTGTGCAGGACGCCCTGATTCACAGATCGGGAGAATCTCTGGTGGAAGAATTTTCAAAGAGTCAGCAGAGACGCAAGATCCCTGAATTCGGCCAAATTACCTGCAGTCCCATCGGGTACTTAAGTCTCTGGCCTCTTTTCTTTAGGCCCGAGATGCAAGTCCTGAACAGAGTATGTTTGTGTTCCAGTGTAGCACAGCAACATCACGAGGTGTTTTGCAAGTTTTGGCATGCAGCCAGTAGCTCTCCTCCAGCACTTCAACTTCAACTAACCGACAAAACAAGTGAAAACTTATTGCATCCAGTAGCAGCACTTAAGCACACTATTATATATCAGATCTGAGCAGGTGAACTTGAACCTGTGCACAGCAACTTCATTCATGTGCATATCCCAGCGATGAAGACAAACGCCTGGATGCTATGGCGTGTTTTCTCTATGCTGCCTGCCATTTCAGACACCGCAGATGAAGCTGAATGCTTTGCTGCGTTCAACTCGCAAGCAGTGCGCTTGAGAGATCTCAGTGCTGTTATGGCACAGGACCACAATTGGGACATTTTGCACAGGCGCGGGGAGGCAACCGCTTGTTTGCAAGAAGGCCATCGTTTTTTCTTTGCATTGTTCTTCTACCAGCAATATGGTGCGCCAGCAGCAACGTCTGACTTCGGAGCTTGTCTGCCTCGTGAATGTCATGCACTTGTCATATCTGAAGAAGTCTTGCCAAAGATGTACCATCACTTCTTCGACCATCACATTTTCCATTTGCCAGATGGCAGTATTGATACAGAAAGGAGCTTACACTACTCCATCACAGTTAAAGAGTACAAATCTACACTGAATTTGTCATTTGACCTCCAGCGGCTAGTTCTTGTCTTCGCAAGTTTTGCCGTATTGCCGTGCTTGGTGATAACTCTCTGGGAGCTACTTCGATTCAAGAGGATTGAACAAATGGACGAGAAGAATAAGAATTCTCGGAAGGAGATGCCCCGGCAATGCTCCGTCCTAGTGCAGGCATTCAGTCTGTCCAGGGGCTGTGAGGAGCTTGTCAGTGTTCCGGGAGCTGACGAGTTTTCCAGTGATTTGTGCTGGGTACGGGCTGCATATGTGTGTGGGATAATCATTTTGCATGTGACCCAAGGTGCGAAATGGCGTCACATCGACATCCTAGAAGCAAAGTACAAGATTTTTGCAGCAGTTCGGCCCCTGGCCCTTGTGAATGATGCCTTCATTCAACTTTCTGCTTATCTGTGCGCTTGCAGTGATTCAAAGGCACAGAGAAAAGGTGATGCATCTGTATTTACACGGCTTCGCCTCGGACTTTTGCGAGCATGGCGAAAATATTTGCGACAGCTGCCCGTATGTCTGTTCTGGAACTGGTTTTATCTCTATGTTTTGCCTTGTGTCCCCTACAATCCTTACAATCATGCCTACCCCTGGTTTGGCATACGCTGGTACCATGCAACTGGAAAGTGCATGAAGAGGCAGTTGCGGTATTCGTTTCTCCTTGGTGACTTGGGTGCATTGCTTCTGGGTGATGGTGACGATGATTGGTACTCGACGAAAGGCAATCCATGTGTGAATTTGTGGAATTTTCAGCTTGAAATTCAGGCCTTCACCTTAACTACATGCATTCTTGCGCTTGGCCGTTCCTCTGCTCTTAGTATATTCATCGTCATTGTGGCTTTGGGCTATGGAAGTGCTAACCATGTTGACACATGGTGGATTCACCATGCTCGTGGCATTGCTATTCAGATGCTGGTACTTTGCTGTTTGGGTCTTGCGTCCAAACCCTTGGGTGCCCAATGGCAGAGTCTGCGGTGGCTCGGTTCCTTTTTTCTAATCATTGCATACATCATCTATGGAATCTCACGTGGTGGATGGGTAGACAACTACGAAGAACTTGCCAAAGAAGTTCAAAATCACCTGCTTCTGACCACTGGTCTTTGGCAAGCAGCACTTGCATTGGGAACCGCATTCTTGTGCGAGGGGTGTCGTGCAAGTGGCGGTCGAGCAAAACCCTGGCTTGCTGCTTTCAACCGCTTGGCCTTTGGAATCAACGTGGCCCATCCGTTTGTACAATTCTTTGTTGAAGCCCACACCACCTTGAACGACCGAGTGTTTTCCCTGTTCTCATGGCCGACGCAGATAGCACTGGTTTTTGTTGTGACCGCATTACCTGCGGTGTTTGTATACATACTTGTCCAACGTCCCTGGGCCTTAATTTTGCCGCATTTGTCAGATGCTGCCCTGTCATGTATAAATCTGAGATTGAGGCAGGCAAAAAGCGTCAAAAAGCTAGAGACCGACGGTCGACATTGAACAAAGAAATGGGTCAAATTTCGGCTGTAATGATAGAGCCCACAGTGATTTCACAGCAGGAAGTTGACCCGGACGTGATCACGGGATACAACATCATCAACTTCGATTTGCTGCAAGCTAAGCATTGTAGTATATCTATGAACATTTTAGTTTTTATGGTTGTTTTAGGTCCTAAATTTTAGGTGTTCTTTATTCAGATTTATTCACATTCAGGTAGTCTGCACAGCCGAGCTTCCAAACCTGACCTGAAAACAGCCGAGCTTCAGGCCGTATCTAGTGGATCGAGCAGAGACCAAAGGCATCAACGGAGAATTTTGCAAATTGGGACGTTTGCGCAATGACAAGTGCAAGAAGCTCAGGTCCTCAGGTCCTGCCTTCAAACAGAGATGTGCCAAGTACAAACTCTGAAATACATTCCCATTCCTCCAGCCTCCAGCCTACTAATCTTTCTAGTTCAAGGCCGCAAGCGAATCAACAACTTCAGTGGCCGTGAGACTATTGAGATCAACATTGATGGGCGAATCAACTTTGATATGCTGGCAGTGATTCAAAAGGACATTGATAGGGTTGTAGGCAATTTTCAGAGCATCATACTTTGATTTTTGAACTGCGTGATCCAGTATCAGGGATCAGGGCAAGTGTAGCCAGCGCAGGAGCAAAAACTGAGCTCTTACTCCCTGAATGCTGTCTCAGCCGAGTTTTTGGGTGAGCAGAAGGAGGAGCACGGCACCAAATCAGAATCTGAATATTAAATTTTAATCTGAGGGTATTGTTCTAGAACTAGCGGTGCTGTTCTATGCTGATTTTTGCAGGATGTGCATCACAGTATGATTGGAGATCTCTACCTTGGCAGTGGAGAAAGCCGCCGTCGTTTAGCGATTTACTGCTTGAAGGCGAGCTGTTTTTGTGGATCGGAGTTTTGTGTTTGCGTGGTTCCAGGCTTTCCGTGACGATGAGACCATTTTAGAAGTGACACGGATTGCCATAGAACATGTTGTTGCACTGTTCAAGTCGGACCAATCATGACCGGTCATCCATTTTGCCCTGGAGGATGCGTACCTCCCAATGCGGCTCATGGAGAAATTGTTGTGTATGTGTCTTGTCATCCAAGATCAACTCATGTGACGAAACAATACTCTACAACCTGTGTCACTTGCAGTGCCAAGGTACAATTACGTGGAGATGGCACGGGTGACCGGAACTCCGATCAATTTCTTGCTGAATCGTGGGCAGATGATCAAGGTACAGTAGAATCCTGAGACTCAAGGATTGCAGTTCCCATTCTTTGTGACTTCTATTCGCTTCTATCATCCAATGGCTCATATGACTCATATGCCATATGGTTGCCTAGGTCGCAGCTTCTTCGGAAAGCCAGGCAGTGGAGCTTCGTGATGCCTACCCTGACCCTTGGAGCTACAAAGTGTCGTTGCATTTCCTTTGATCCATGTTATGTGCCCTTCAGATTGCTTAACATTCCTCAACTGTATTTAGGGGCGAGCATGGCTTGCCTGGTTTTGTAAACGATGATCATCCCGGCAGTTGGGGAGTTGGGCTGAGACTTACTTCTTCGCCCCAAGGAAGACTGAAGGTTCGAGTGACAAGTTTGAGGGTGCCACTGTGCTGGATCCACTGACAGGAGATGGCTGCAGGTTCTTGTGTATGAGTAAACAGCCACGACAATGTTGACACAGGATACTACCCACAGCCCATTGCTACTTTGGACTTTGCCTCTCTGCACCTCGACAACAGATGTGAGCACCTTGC